TTTGTGCTAAACTACACCAATATATTACAAATGGCATCATTTATTGGTATTAAATGCATATTAATGATAGCCAATAGTTCCGGGGCCGGCGCCCAACCTCCGCCATCGCCCTCACAATTATCACGTGACAGCACTCGACCCCAGCGGATAATGTTAACCATCATACTATGCGACTGTCTAATGGCCTTAGAGGTTATCATGCGCCAGTACATGGTAATGCCTGTGATTGACCACTTAGTGCCTGATCCCACACTCGCCCTATCCATTGTCCAGTCTATAGACAACTATATCGACGCAACCCTACTATACGTTCAGTCATTTGCATTTGTGACCCTTTCGTGGGACCGATACTACGGCATATGTCGACCCCTCGACAACCCCTTTGACCGCATGTCAAATAAACGGATACACCTATGGATAGTAGTTTCCAGCGCTGTCCTATCCCTACCATTTATGGTTACATCATATGTGTATTACTTTGATTTCCACCGCAAAGCTTTGGTTTGCGCCGACAATCAGCTCTACTATATGTCGCTCATTAACCGGAACCTCATGTTTAAACAGGTGACCCGATTGGGCCGATTGGTCACCGAGTTTGTTGTACCGGCGCTACTAATTGGCTACTTTACGGCGCGCATAATCATACACTTGTACTCAATCGGTGACCACTCTGTGGCGCCGGTGGCCAAACGATTGGTGGCCATACTTACTGTGTTTATCATTAAAAACGTGGCCTTTCATACGGCCACTAATTACTCAATCTATACCTCGTGGGAAACGTGTCAACTGTCCACTAAGTACTTCGTGTGCTTTCTGGTGGTACGGGTGACCGGCTTTTTGAACTCGCTAATTTTTTTCTGGGTGGCCACCCGTTTCCGGCGCCAGTGTATGGACTTAATGGTCAATTATGTCCGCGTGTTTGGCCCCACAAAACAATTAATTTCTGTTACAAATAGCGGTTATACTACCGGTGCTGGTGTTGTTGGTAGTGACAGGTCTAGGGTTGGCGGCGATACTTATGATAATTATATGGTCAATGTTAAGGCCCGTATGCAACGGCTTATGTATCGCCGCCAATGGCTTAGACACCAAACATTTATGGAGACTATTCTCAGTGATTATTATTACATGATTTGATGACTTAAGATATTTTATTTTTTATATGTTTTTATACATCTATTTTATTATTATTATTATTATTATGAGGCAATTTATTATGTGCTGTTTGTGTCTGTCTGAGTACAATGAGAATTCATATGAAGGTAATACAGAAATAAAATTATTATTTATTATTGATTGGGATAAATATATTTACTTACTATTATCATTTAACTCCCGGATAGTTATGTGTTAAATGTTTATTATTGTTATTATGATTAATTATTAATGTAAATAGTGATTATAATTCTATGGTGACATTAAACATTTAATAATCTAGTTTAAATATTTATAAAAATAAGTTTCCTTATACGAAACATTACAGTAAATAAAATTACAATGAATAATACGTGTGAATTGAGTAAGCTAAAAAATCCTATTATTATAATAGACTGTTTTAATATATTGCAAATAACATCGTTCATTGTTATTAAATGTATATTAATGATAACCGGGGGCCCCAAACAGGGGACATCCAGCCTATCACGTGACAGCACCCGACCCCAGCATATAATGTTGACCATCATACTATGTGACTGTCTAAATGTGCTCGAGCTAATTATAATACAATATTTTATATTCCCTGCCATTGCCTACACGACCGACTCGTCACTTGCCCTATCCATCACCCGCTCAGTCGACAGTTATATCAACACAACTCTGCTATACATCGAGTCGTTTGCATTTGTGGCCCTTTCTTGGGACCGATACTACGGCATATGTCGACCCCTCGACGACAACCCCTTTGACCGCATGTCGATCGCGCGGATACAGCTATTGATAGCGATTCCCAGCGCTGTCCTATCCCTGCCATTTGTGGTTGTATCGCGTGTTTACTACTTTGACTACCGGCGCGGTGTGTTGGTGTGTCTCGAGAATCCGCATACGTATATACCGGTGCTTAACGCCAACACCACGTTTAGAATGTTGACCATGTGGCTTCAAATAGTCACCGAGTTTATTTTACCCACACTGCTTATTGGCTACTTTACGGCGCGTATCATTATCTGCCTGTACTCTACGGGTGACCACTTGCGGGCGCCGGTGGCCAAGCGACTGGTGGCCATACTTATAGTGTTTATCATTAAAAACACGGCGTTTCATTCGGCCACCAATTATACAATATTCACCTCGCTCCCCGAATGCCAACTGTCCACACAAAACTACGTGTGCTATATGTTTGTCCGGTTGACCGGCTTTTTGGACTCGTTGATTTTTTTCTGGGTGGCCACCAGTTTCCGGCGCCAGTGTTTGAACTTGTTTGTCAGTTATGCAAGTTGGTTTACAATTAACATGATTGTAGTTATTACCGGTATTAAAAGTCGGGCTACTTGTGTTAGTGGTGCTAGGGTTGGGGTTTGGGTTAAGCACAGTGTGGCCAGTGTTAGGGCACGTGTGAAAAGTATTAAGTATCGCCGCCAATGGCTCAGACGCCAGACATTTATGGAGACTATTCTCACTGATTATTATTATATGATTTGATATTTTAATTAAATTATATATTAACTAATGTTTTATACATTTATTTTGTTGTTATTATATTATGTTGTTTGTGTTGCAGTGACTATTCATATGGAAGTAATATTTAATTATTAATTAAGTCTAACGTTATTTTAATTTGATTGACGTGGGAAATAAATTTAATATTATTCATTAACTTTCCAACTAGGCAACTTTTTTAAATGTTAATTTAACATCAAATGCCATTATTATTATAACAAGCTACTATAATCAACTATTAATTATTACGGCAATTAGTTTAATTGTGTTTATAATATTTTATAGCTAGAGTAAAATTCCATATTATTAAAACACAATGAACAACACCCATGAATTCAGCGAGCTAAAAAATTATGTAATCATACTAGACTGTTTTGATATACTGCAAATAACATCATTCATTGTAATTAAATGCATATTAATTAAAACCGGCGGCACTAAAGCAAAGACTATCAATCTGTCACGTGATAGCACTCGACCCCAGCAGCTAATGCTAACCATCTTGGTATGCGATTGTTTAATTGCAATCGAGCTTATTACATTTCAATACGTGATCATTCCTGCCATCAACTATACAATGGCCGACTCTCTACTCGCCCTATCCATTGCCCGCTCAGTTGATAACTATATCAACACAACCCTACTATACGTAATGTCGTTTTCATTTGTGGCCCTTTCGTGGGACCGATACTACGGCATATGTCGACCGCTCGACAATCCCTTTGACCGCATGTCAAACAAACGGATACACATATGGATAGTGGTTCCCAGCGCTACCCTATCCCTGCCATTTGTGGTCACATCATACTTGTATTACGTTGACTACGGGCGCGATGTGTTGGTGTGCGTCGACAATAGCCAATATTATATGTCATCCCTAACTAACGGGAACCAAACTTTTAATGTAATTACTACATTGATCATATTAATCACCGAATGTGTTTTACCAACACTGTTTATATGCTACTGTACTGTCCGCATAATTATCTGCCTGTACTCTATCGGTGACCACTTGCGAGTGCCGGTGGCCAAGCGATTGGTGGCTATACTTATCGTGTTTATCATTAAAAACATTGCCTTTCATACGGCCACCAACTACTCAATATATACAGCACCGGACACATGCCAACTGTCCACTCGTAATTATATATGCTATATGTTTGTCCGGTTGACCGGCTTTTTGGACTCGTTGATTTTTTTCTGGGTGGCCACCCGTTTCAGGTGCCAGTGTTACGACATTTTGATTAGTTTTATCAGCCAATTTGTCCGCACAAACATCTTGGTTGTGATTTTTAAGGTTGGTAGATGTGGCGGTACAAGTGTCAATGCTTGTAGTAGTGGTGGGGCTAAAGTTGAGGTTTGGTCTACGGCTAGTGTGTCCACTGTTAGGGCCCGTATGGACCGCCGTATTAATGGTCGCCAATGGCTTAGACGGCAATCATTTGTGGAGACTATTCTCGCAAATTATTATTATTATATTGTTTGACAACTTATGAATTTATTTTTGTATTATGTTTTGTATTATTTGTATATTTTGTATAGATTTTTATTTTAATATTTTACTTTTTGTTTCAATGCTGTTTAACTAGGATTTTTATTTTTGTCTTATAATAAAATGTATTGAATGCAATTAATAACTATTACAAATATAAATAATTTAGCTATGTTTTCAAAACATGAAACTTCTCTAGACTACTGAAGTATTTGTAATATTTAAAAGAAATAACATATTGGTAAATAATAAATATTATTTACTTGTAAAGTAACATCTAATAAATATTTTCTATAATATGCTGTTTCTTATAAATCTCTAATTAACAAATTGCTGTGTAATTGTTTTTCATTGATCGGTGTAAACACTAGTGCTAAGCACTAGTACAGTAAAATGTCAATGTGGATTATACTATAAGCAGATTATTAAAAACATCATAATAATTATTTCGATATAAAGTAAGAATACCAATTCAGCATGTTCAGCATGTTCAGCATGTTTACTGCCCTATCAATTATGTGTGTTGTTTATTTTTTGGTATTTTTCTAAAATTCAACATGATTGTAACTTATTAGTAAATGAATTATTAATTCATTATGGTATTACTGCATAATATATCGATTATGGTACATTATGTACGAGTACAAGTTGGGCATGAACATACATGAATACTGTTGTACCAATGTACTTCTGTTTATCCACTCTTTTACATCACTTATAAGTTATAACTCAATGCCTGTCACGTGACAGCACCTGATAATGATAAGAATATTTAACGTACATTAACATTATGATTAGTAATATTTTTAATTTATTAATATTAATTTTGGTACTGGCAAAATTTTATAACATGAGTATATTCATTTATTAAAAGTAATATTACAATTAAATACAATTTACATATTGTCGTAAATCTTAAAATGTATTTACTATGGTGTTTTACCCTTCTATTACTTTAAAGTTATAATAACACAGTTTGTGCTTACAGTAATTAGTAGAGCAGAGATTTTTCGGGACTAAAAACAACCAAATTCGGTCGGGAACCGGGAGTAAAACAGTCGAATTTGAGAATATTCGGGCTTGACTTTCATTTTAGACTTTTCATATATAGTTAAACTAATTGTATAATAGATTATTATAAGGAATTGACGTCGGAATTGGGTTTAATTTTGTTTATTCATTTTAGCTCTCTCTCTCTCTCTCTCTCTCTCTCTCTCTCTCCTTTTTACCTGACTCACTCATTAACTAACACCCATACAAATAAGTTGTTTTCGAGATGTAGGTGATTTTTATATTTGTTAGTAAAATAATTGTAAATATTTGTGAATGTTAAAAGTTTTACGTCATTTAAAACATAAAAATTAGTGAAAACTTAAATCATATGTAATATCAACTTAAATCATAATAATAATCATGAATAACACACATGATTTAAGCAAGCTGCAATATCACATGTTCATACTTGACTACATTAATGTATTGCAAACGACCTCATTTATTATTATAAAATGCATACTAATGATCACCGGTAGTGCCCAACCCCGGCCGTCACCTAACAGCCTATCACGTGACAGCACTCGATCCCAGCGAATAATGTTAACCATCATACTATGTGACTGTTTGATGGCCATCGAGGTTATCACTCGCCAATCCGTTATAATGCCAGTGATTGACCACGTGGTGATTGATTCTACCTTAACCCTATCTATTGTCCAGTCTGTCGACAACTATTTTGACTCTACCCTACTATACGTCCAGTCATTTGCATTTGTGGCCCTTTCGTGGGACCGATACTACGGCATATGTCGACCGCTCGACAACCCCTTTGACCGCATGTCAAACACACGGATACACCTGTGGATAGCGATTCCCAGCGCTGTCCTATCCGTGCCATTTGTGATCACATCATATGTGTATTACTTTGATTACGGTCGCAATGCGTTAGTCTGCGCCAATACCGAGTCTTATTATATGTCAACACTTAACAAAAACAATACGCTTAAACTGGTGGCCAAATACTTCCGCACGTTTACCCAGTTTATTATACCCTTACTGATGATTGGCTACTGTACAACCCGCATAATCACACACCTGTACTCTATGGGGGCCCACTCGCGGCACGCGGTGGCCAAACGATTGGTGGCCATACTTATCGTGTTTATCATTAAAAACATTGCCTTTCACTCGGCCACCAACTACTCCATATTCACCTCGCCCGAAACGTGCCAACTGTCTACTCGTAACTACGTGTGCACTGTAATAGTGAGGGCGACGGGCTTTTTGGACTCGTTGATTTTTTTCTGGGTGGCCACCCGTTTCCGGCGCCAGTGCTTAGACTTGGCGACCAGTTGTGTCCGCGAGTTTGCTCGAACCAGGCAAATGACCGTGGTGGTTAAGTTTTGCAGCGGTGGGGCTAATATTGCTGCTACTGGTGGTGATGGGGGTGGGGGTGAGTGTAAGACTGCCAAAGTTGAGGCGGGTGTCAAGGATAGTGTGACCACTTTTAGTACCCGTTTGCACCGTCGGGTAGATCTTCGTCAGGGTATTAGACGGCAAACATTTATGGAGACTATTCTCAGCGATTATTATTTTATGATTTAATGTTTTATGTATATTTATTTTATTATTATTATTTTTATAATTATTAAGCACTTTATAATTTGTTGTTTAGTATGTCTAGCTATTGTAGTGACTATTCATATTATGGTAATATTTAATTTAAACTTACTTTGTTAGTGTTCCTATTATTGTCAATAACTTATTTATGTGGGAAATAAACTTACCATAGGTGCAACTAAATAAATGTTTATTATTATTTTAATTTACAATATAATTATATAATAATTGATAGATTTTACAACTAGCTTAAACTGTATAATAAAATTTAAATTTTATAGATAATTATAATGTATAACACTTATGAATTAAGCAAAGTAAATATTTATATTATTATACTAGCGTGTTTGGATTGTATGCAAATAGTATCATTTGCTATTATAAAATGCATATTAATTAACACCAGCCGTGCACACACCCAAACCCCGTTAACCAATCTATCACGTGACAGCACCCGACCCCAGCAAATAATGCTAACCATTATACTATGCAATTGTTTACTGGCCGTAGAGGTTATATTATTACAATGCGTGGTAATACCAATCATTGGCCACATCACTGTCTACACTGGTCTCTCCCCATCCATTGTCGGCTCTATTGATAATTATATAATTACAATCTTATTGTACATCCAATCGCTCGCATTTGTGGCCCTTTCGTGGGACCAATATTACGGCATTTGTCGGCCACTCGACAACCCCTTTGACCGCATGTCAAACACACAAATACACCTGTGGATAGTGGTTCCCAGCGCTGTCCTATCCCTACCATCTGTAGTCTCAAAGTATTTGTATTACTTTGACTACTGGAATAATTTATTGATTTGCATAGACAACCATGCTTATTATATGCCGGCCCTCAACGGTAGCTATGTATTTAACATGATAGCTCAAGTTACCACGCTAATAATTGAGTTTATCGTACCGGCTCTGTTGATTGGCTACTGTACGGCCCGCATAATTGCCAACCTGTACACTATCGGCGACCACTCGCGGCAGGCGGTGGCCAAGCGATTAGTGGCCATACTTGTAGTGTTTATTATAAAATACGTGGCCCTTCAAACGGTGACCAACCCGTCAATATTCACCTCACCCGACACGTGCCAACTGTCCACTCGTAACTTTGTGTGCGGAATGGTGGTCAGGTTGACCGGCTTTTTGGACTCGATGATTTTTTTCTGGGTGGCCACCTCTTTCAGGCGCAAGTGCCTTGACATGTTGGTCAAGTGTGTCCGCTGGCTGTGCCGTACAATGTTAGTTATCATAACGCTTTGTGGGTTTAGGGTTTTGGTTAAATACAGTGTGGCCAGTGTTAAGGCCCGTATGGATCGCCGTATGTATCGCCGCCAATGGCTTAGACGCCAAACATTAATGGAGACTATTCTCACCGATTATTATTATATTATATGATTATTTTTTCAATATACTGTATTTAATTACTTGTAAATATTTTGTAAATAATTTACTTGCTAATAATTTGTTAAACTCAGGGTTTGAGTTAAATTTTATATGGTTTGGACTATTACTTGCCATAATTTGACCAGTATTAGTGCTTTATTGTAACGTCGGTTGTATATATTAAACGCTAATATTTATATAGTCTATTTGCAATGATTATTATTATTACATGATTTACTGATGTTTATTTGTTGATTTTATAAAAATATATCTACTGTAGTTAATAAATTTGATTTATTGTTTAAATTATTGACAATTCTAAGTGATTAATAACTCTATGGCCCAGTGAATCTAAATTGCTCGCAATAATTGTCTCAAATTATACAAATTGTCTCATACAATATTATTTTTATAAGTTACGAATTATTATTAAGAAAATTAATTATACAAATATAATAATATACATTTATTAAAATCACACAGGTCGTACATTTCCCAAAGTGGCATTTTACGCGCAAACACTGGGCACCGGGCAGTTATCGTTGTTTAATCTACTCAAAGCCTATTCACTATACGATACGGTAAATATATTTAACTATCACTGTACAATAAATATTAAATTTATTCAAATATAAAAAAACAATCAATATAAAATTTAAACAATAAAATAACATGAATTATTTGTATTTATAAAATCCAGGAAGTTGAATATTGTCAGGGATTAAGTTTTGTGGCTGGAATACTATTGCTTCACGTGAGTATATTTTACATTATTGTAATTTTAAATCATGCTAAATGTTAGGCAGGGCTGACCCGGGCATATACCCCGGTGCTCACCAAGGCGGTCGTTGATATTTGATTTAAACATGATAATTCATATCATGTTCCCATATTTATAAATTCATACAAATTTTTACATTAATGATAATGCAAAAAATAAGTGCAGGGTGTAGTAAATTATTATTTATAGTAATTAATTCAATTGTAAATTGGAATTATTAATTAGACAAGCTATAATTAAAATTGAAATTTTATCACATTAAAAATTTGTTTCATTACCTAACTAAATGAGCATAATGCTACAGCTGAATATTGAAATATTCGCGCTAGCTGATAATTATATAAACTGTTATTGTTATTTATTAATACTTATATTTTATTTTCTAACAAAAACAGATGAGTGAAGACGACTCGTACGAAATGATGAAATACATACTGTTTGATAGAGGGCTTAGGAAACAGTACAAACCGGATATGGATGCTCTACAGGTAGTCCACCATAATATATACCACCCGTAACTGTCCAGACCTTACATACCATTCCCTCATTAAATATTCATTAACAATAACTGTATATATTATTTGTGTGTGTTTTATGTTCTTGTTTATAAAATCCCGTTATTTTGTATTTTACTTAAATGTTTAGTATCTGTGGTTTGGGTTTGAGAGAGAGAGAGAGAGAGAGAGAGAGAGAGAGAGAGAGAGAGAGAGAGAGAGAGAGAGAGANTATCGATGGAGAGGAGGAGAGAGAAAGAGAGAGAGAGAGAGAGAGAGAGAGAGAGGATTGGGCACACAATTGCATACAATTATATTACATAATGTATTCATAAAATGCAATTATAATCACAAATCACACAAAAGAAAACCAAAAATAAAACGGTTTTTCGTTTATTATTTTGTTGTTGTTTTCATTCAATTCAGTAAACGAGCCGTTCATTCATTTTACATAACGATATATAATGTATATATAATTGTTATATAATTTTAATTCAGTTTAGTTAAGGGTTTGATTTAAACAAAACAAAAACTAAACAAACAGTTATTCAAATGTAAAAACTTTTATTTCACTATTAAGTTTATTTACACTAATCGATCACATAATTGTATTAAAATCATTATGATTAATCTATGATGTATTGGTATTTTTACCATACAGTTCTCTTATCAGTTTTATATAGTTGTTTTTGCCTTTGTGTACACAATAGGGTTAAAATACAGGCATACGTGTATTTACCCGCCCCATCAGACTCTACCCTATTATATAATTAACTTATAAAAAGTATACAAAAATTTATTATAGCAAATATTTCGTTTTAATCTATGCAAAAGTTTATGGGATATTATTATTTATTACATAATAGCGAGAGTACACTATTGTTGAACTAAATTATTTATTAATATAATATTTAGATAAATATATTGCTTATCAGTTTTCGTAACCCATGGCATAAAATTGTAAAATTAATTTAAAACATCATTCATTCTCAATATACTGTATTAAAAGCAAATATTACAATAATTTTCAATTGAGATAAAAATCAAAACTAATAAATATAAATTTAATTATACTCCAAACATTATACAGCTAACTTTTAGTAACAGTTATATATAAAAATAAGTTTAAATTTATAGCCAAATGTCAGCTATAATTCACTTAATGAAGGGTTTTATTATGTAATATATATTTTATGCCATAGCGTATACAAAACCTTATAGTATTTGCACCTACATTATAATGAAAGGTATTCAGTATATCTTATACAGGTATATATTTTTATGGACACTACGGGGTGTCCGGCCATTGAATAACACAATTAGATATTAATTACAATTTTTTAAACACTTTTCTCAATGCTTTTCACAAATCAGGAAATAGTGTTATAGTTTATGATGGGATATATAACTGTAAAACATGGTTATACTGTACAACCTTGTTAATATTATAGCGGAGCAAGCATTTGAACCATCCCTTTATTGTGCAGTATATTAAATGCATTTATAATTAAAATTGAAATATACGGGTGTTTTCACAGACACCTAAACCCGTTATACATATTATTATTGAATTTAAAAAATACATTAATTATAATGTAATTCATAATAAAACCTCTTTTGATAAGAATCTCTGCATTCATTTGATATTACATTATAATGTGTTTTATTATTTTAAAATTCAACATAATTTTATTTAGAAATGTGTTTTGAATTAAATGTTTACATAGATTTACGCACATTTTTTATACATATTATGTTTAATCATAATAATTATTGTGATAAACACATAAAACATTTTTATTGTGATTATTTTATTGTTTTCATTTATATCATAATCGCATTAAAACATTGTATTTAAATTAAATGATAAGATTTATATCACTTAATCTTATGGGCGTTTGAAACAGAAAGATAGAGAGAGAGAGAGAGAGAGAGAGAGAGAGAGCGAGAGAGAGAGAGAGAGAGAGCGAGAGAGAGAGCGAGAGAGAGAGCGAGAGAGAGAGAGAGAGAGAAAACAAAACCAGACATAACCAAACATACAAAAAATTAATCACGTTAAATTTATAATTTCTACTAGATCAAATTAAAAATAAGCCCTACAATATAATGTACATTTTAATATAGATGCAATTCTATCAATTGACTCGTTTACTATACGACTACAATCGGCCCCTCTATCAGCACTTTGAGGCGCACGACATATCGCCCACCCTATACGCCGCGCCCTGGTTTCTAACCCTATTTGCCTCCCAGTTCTCCATATCATTTGTCACGCGGCTATTCGGTCAGTACAACACAATTAACTACTTATCAAACAAAATATTTTTGTAAAAAAACCACTAAATATTCTGTAATAATTAGAAAGTTTTGCAAAAATATTTTGTAGTAACAAAAACACATTATAACTAACTTAACGTATGTCTATACACCCGGGTGTTCCCACCCATACTCAGACATACTATTCCTGATGGGCATTGAGGCCATATTCCGTGTATCGCTGGTCATACTGGACAACCACACGGCCAGTATATTGCAGTGCGACTGCTTTGAGACCATAATGGAGTACTTGAAAGAGTCGGTGCCGGCGATGGACACGGCTGCCATTGAGGCCATATATGACCGGGTGTTTGCGTTGTACGACATCAGCGCACAGCTCCGGGTATACGAAGTGGAGTACCGGGTGTTTCAGGAGGAGCTGTCCATTATATCAGCGGCCAATAGCCGGCCAGCGGTTACAGACAGCCCGAGTCGGACCGGCAATACCAGTGGTGGACATAGGGTTAAACACAGCCAACAACAACAGCACACGGAGACGACGGACAGGGAGGCTGTCGAAGAGCTAACGGCTCGGTGCCAGGAATGGCAGTCGAAGTGCGCTCAGGCGACGGCCCAATGCGACGGCTATCAGAGCACAATCCGACGGCTGGAGCAGCGGCTCAGGGCCTGCGAGGACGAGAAGGACGCACTCGTACACAGTGTTAACGTATTGCAAAAGCGCAATGAAAAGCTCGAGCGGCTCCACAATGAGCGCCAGGAGCCCAATGATGACGGTATTAAAAACAAGTCGAGATCGGGTAAGATCCAGATCATTTTGCACGCTTAGCCCCCCCCCCTCAGCATATCCATATAATATATGAATATAACCATATAATATCTGTACAAATTAACATGTGCTTAAATTAGGGTTAAGAAGTATGGGGGCTGAGGGTTGGGTAAAATATACTGAATATGACAGATATTTAGTTCAACATATGTTTATTACGTACAGAATATTCTTGAAAAAATAAAAATTACATTATTAACAATATTTGTTTTGTTAATACAGACCGGTTTAGCCTGAGTTCGGCGCCGGTATTCAGCATCAGCCGGGCGTCAGAGAGCCAGTCGGTCGATGGCCAGTCGTCGGCGGCTGAGGCCAACGGGTCGTCGGACGGACACGACTACGACGGCGACGATCTGGCCGTAGACGAGGACGACATCGATATTAACGAATCGGACAGCGATTGCGGCGCCGATAAGGACTCGGATGACAGGCACGCCGTGCCCTTTGACCGCACGCAAAGCGATACAAGCAATTTGAGTATCTAATACCGTGCGTAGACTGTATATCATGTGTACAGTAATGTACGCTAACCATGATTGATTGAATATAACGTGTGCACTAACTATAACGTGTACATCATATATACAAGCAAATTTTTTATGACATATTTTAGGTTTTAGATTTATATTAACTTATTATTATAAATTATAATTATATATTTGTTAAATAGACAGCATTTAATTTATATAGACTTTATTTATAGGCATTGATTTATGATTATTTAATAATTAATATATTATATTAGTGGTGGATATGTTTGAGGTGAAGGGGTATAACCTCTCTGGACATCAGACACCTATCATTTATATCTTATTTATAAATAGTTTTCATTGAAAACTATGGCATTTATTTCTTGGTGCTTAAATATTATAATGTTTTAATATAAATATAAATTCCGAGTATTTACACCATGATTATTATAATAATTAGTTATAACCATTTGATTATTATACAAAATTGATGTGCAAATTAACATGTTGAAAATACCAGGAAATACAGTACAGTACAGTATTATATTGTACAATGTATTACAATGTATTTTATTATAATGACTGTCCGTACAGTTGGGTTATGATATGGCAAAGAGTTTATGTAAATGTTTATCACAAACAGACTGTTATATATCGGATACGTTTTGCTAATTAAAAGATATTTTAGTAAATGATTATAAATGTTATGAAAGATATATTTTGGTGACAAATGAAAGATTATATTGAAAGCGATTACACGTACAGACAATTGTGTGATGATTATTACCTGGATATATTTTTCCTACCTCCCCACCTCAACTCCCATAAGTAAATGTATACAAAATATTATTTAAAAAATTATAAAAAAATTTTACTATGGGTAATTTAGAGGTGGGGAGGGGTTAGCGTGGCGTACAAATAGCTATACATATACTGTATTATTGTATCGCAAATTTTAACTTAAACTTATTTGTATTACTATTAAGTTATATACATTTTGAATGCTTATTGCGATTACTATAGTGATTGCGATTTTATATTATGCCTATTTATGATAGAGATATCGTTTCTAATAGAAACTTTCTATCATGTTATTTATATCTAGAATTTTTAAAAATAATTATTATGCTAACCTAATCATAATAATAATTTATTATTACAATTTAGTTATATATAAGTGATTATACTTCTGGATAGTTGTGTGGTATATGTATATCCCATACAATCACCAACAAAAACATTTATAAATGTAAATAAAATCAATTTCAAATATTGAAAACATGGTAAAAATAGGTGTATTGTATGTGACAGGTATGTGGTATACAGTTATCTTTTATGTATAACTCATAGTATGTATTATAGCTCTTATATAAATATCTCTCAAATGGTTATTTCAATTTTTCATATATTTCTTGATATATAAAATAATGAAAACTTATTGTAAATTTAAAACGAAAATCAAAATAAAAGTACAATATTAAACATTAAATTACTATTTAATGATTGCAATGAGTGAGTGAGTGAGTGAGTGTGTGTGTGTGTGTGTGTGTGTGGTCGGCCAGTTTCAGATTATGAAGATAGTTTT